TCAGTACCACCAAACACTGACTCAGTACCACCAGACATGGACTCAGTACCACCAAACACTGACTCAGTACCACCAAACACTGACTCAGTACCACCAAACACTGACTCATTACTACCAAACACTGACTCAGTACCACCAAACACTGACTCAGTACCACCAAACACTGACTCAGTACCACCAAACACTGACTCAGTACCACCAAACACTGACTCAGTACCACCAAACACTGACTCTGTACTACCAAACACTGACTCATTACCACCAAACACTGACTCAAGACTGTTTAAACAGTTCACATAACGATGAACTTAACATAAGTGAAGTGCTTTAACTCTTTTCACACAATCACAGGTTAAGTTTTAGGATTTTACAAAAAATTCTACGTCCTGATTTTTTTTAACCAGACGTTTTTGACATTTAGAGTTAAAGAATATTTTAGATCATGTTTTTTGAGCAGCAACCTAGCGTAGGTCATTGTAAAGCTAATTATTTTTGAATATTATGAAAGAAAGCATTTTACATCTAGTTGAATTGTCAGATAAGTACAAGAATGAACAGTAGTGAAGCTGCCTGCAGGCGTTAATTTGATGTGTAAGAAGTGAAAACACTGATGTTGGTCATTAAACTGGTTTGAGTCCAGTCTGAAACACGTCCTGTGATGGATCCTTTCCTGTTCGGGTGACACGTGCAAAATCTTAATGAGCCTTCCGGCTTTGGCCAAATTCAGCCTTAACCCTCGCAGCTGTRCCCCCCATCCCCACCCCTCCAACCTCTCAGCTCCATGACCCCTAACCCATAACCTCTTACTCCCAGCAACCCCCCAACCCCCCGAAGCCCAGAGGACCGGCCATAAATCCATCGTCAGGCCAGCAGCTCTGAAGCTGTAGACCCCTGAGCTCCCACGTTTTCAGCCCAACTTCAGTTCCTGCGCTCCACTTTCAGACTGGAYGTCAGTCGTTCCGCAGCAGCTGAAGGAAGGAAGCGTGTCAGATTTAAACATCAGGAGAGCGCTGGGAGCAGGGCGACAGGACGCTATAAGTCAGAACAATAGATACCTTTAACTCTGGCCTTTAGCTGCAGGTTTAAAACCTCACTCAGTGAAAAAAAAAAACACTAATTCCGAGGTTGGATCTGTGGTCAGGATGGACAGTCTCAAGCAGAATTTTAAAAAACATGCACCTGTGGGTTTTTTCTGGTTCCTGCTCAACCAGAGGAATCCCGTTTTAAGATCCGCCCCCCAAATTATAGATTAACACGAGCGTGTAACCTGGAAATAAAGACGTCTCTCTGGGGCCACACACTTGTTTCCACTCCTCCTCCACCCAAAATAGATCTGGGCAGAGTCGCCGGCCGCAGAGCTTTTTCTCTGGTGAGGAAGACCACCACATAAGTGGAGCGTAGTGGGTTTGGGAGTCCTCAGGAAATGAACCAGTTCCTCTGGAAGTGTGTGAGTTTGCATGTTCTGCTCAGAGACAGGCTTCTGAAATGTTTGTTTTAGAGACTTTATATTCAGGGTACGCATGTGTCGGCTCAATATTTAGTTCGATTTATGAAAATTATTTTGTTTTAAGTTGAAAATGTATAAAATAAGCAGTTTTAACCACATCAGTTGGGTTGTTGCACCCACTTCGGATGTTATCCTTGAAATGGACGTTAATAGGCCGTTATCAGTCCCATAGAATGGCTTCTGATTGTCAGCTGGTTAGTATGAGGCATAAAAATCAGGTTAACATGAGGCAAAAAGCCACTAAGGTTAACCTTAGAGAATATGTCATGGTTAGCGCTAAACACATCGCCCTTCGATGAGTATATAATGTGGCCCTCCAATAGGGCAATGGGTAGAGCGTGGGAGACCAGGGTTTGAGACTGACACGGACAGCAAGAGCAAGGCTCGCCACTAGGCAAGGTCAAAAAATTTATTACAATATGGTTTGGTTATTTACACATTCGTTGATATTTTCACCCACTAGGGGGCACTGTCGGGACAGTCTGAAGGCTAGAAGGCACAGTAGGGACCCTCTGAAGCCATTGTATAGGACTGATAATGCCTAATAACGTCCATTTCATGGACTGATAACATCAGAATCCTCTGGTTGTTTTATGCATGAAAATGAGCAAATTTGGACAAAACTAAGAGACGATAAGTTCTAAGTTCATGCTAGCTTTGTTAGCCTACGTTAAGCTAACTGTATTTATTAGCTTGGGCTAATTCTGATACTTTGGAGCTCAAATCTGGGAATGACTTAACCATGAAACTTAATTATTTTAGCAATCCTGTAGAAATCTTTACAGATCTGGTGGGTTGTTTTTTTTCAAACTTTAAATCATTTTCAACAATTTTAAATATATGCTGGACTTATTTTAATGTGTTTAACTTAGCAAAATAAAACTAAGCCTTTCTTGTTGTGAACTTCAACCCCTTTTTTGTATTAAACTGAAGTAAAATCATCGCTCAGGTCGACTTCTTGGTTCATTAAATGCGAGGCGGTTGGAAGATAATGAGGGTCAGAAAGTCCTCTTCCTGCTTTATTTCCAGTTGCTCACAAGGAAGTTCCTCTTCCTCAAAGAAAAGTTTAGACAAATAAAGCGTAGCCTGAAAAAACATTTGAAAGCTTTTATTTTTATTGACAGATGCAGTAAAGCTGTCGGCAGTAGTTTATAGTCACGGCTGATGCTTCTTCACAGAATCCTCTGGTGGGAAAAATCACAGGAATTTGATGAGTCGTGTTTAGCGGCGCACACACGCAGGCAGACGTTTGAATCACGCACATGTGTTCTGAGACACTGACTGATCGATTTGTCTGCTCAGCACATCAACAACGACCACATCCACGGAGAGAAGAAGGAGTTCGTGTGTCGCTGGGAGGAGTGCTCACGGGAGCAGAAGCCCTTCAAGGCCCAGTACATGCTGGTGGTCCACATGAGGCGGCACACGGGGGAGAAACCGCACAAATGCACAGTAAGAACTGAAGCCGCTAACGTTTGTCTTTTAGGTGCAAAATAAAGCGCACCAGAGAATCTCCTGCTCAACCATAACATAAACAGTTTTAACTCTGTAATTCTGTTTTAGACCAGTGTGTTTTTCATCAGCACTGAGTGTTTGCTCAGCTTCAAAGCTCCACCATCGCATTAAAACCAGACGACTTGAGAAGACGCCTTAAAAAATGCTGATTGACAGCCTGGGCGTGTAATTAAAACATGCAGAGAGGCAGGGGGGCCGGGGGGTCCTTATTAAGTTCAAGCTGTATATGTTCTGTGCACGAATCCCACGTGCATTCAGTCCCAACGCTCCAACTCCTTCTCTGTAGCGTCTTTTAAGGAAAACTCTTTTTGATCCTCTCTGAGCAGCTCTGATCTGATTCTCTTTTCATTTCAGAGCTGATTAYGCTCACAATGACTGCTTAGAAGGAATACTAAATTATAGCTTGTACAGTAAAAGCTGGAACACAGAGTTCTTTGTGTGAGCAGCAGCAGCGCCGCCACACCTCACACTTAGCTTGTTTCAGAGCAGAGCTTTGTTCAGCGGGAACAGGTCCGGAGGTTTGAACCTGCTGTGTGTCCCTGCAGTTTGAGGGCTGCTCCAAAGCCTACTCCCGCCTCGAGAACCTCAAGACCCACCTCAGGTCCCACACCGGAGAGAAACCATACGTGTGCGAGCACGAAGGCTGCAACAAGGCCTTCTCCAACGCCTCGGACCGGGCCAAGCACCAGAACCGCACGCACTCCAACGAGGTACAACCCGTAAAGAGACTCTGAGGTCCAAAACCCTTTAGCTTTTTTAGTTTATTCTGATTTACCAGCTAAAAAACATCAAGTTCAACAAATATTTAGCTACATTTTAGTGTGGTAGTAGCTGAATGTTTATGAAATATTTTGCTACATTTCGGCGTGGTAGTAGCTGAATGTTTGATATATTCAGCTACATGTTGGTGTGGTAGTAGCTGAATGTTTATGAAATATTTAGCTGCATTTCGGCGTGGTAGTAGCTACTGTAAATGTTTATGAAATATTCAGCTACATGTTGGTGTTAGTAGCTGAATGTTTATGAAATATTCAGCTACATGTTGGTGTGGTAGTAGCTGAATGTTGATGAAATATTTAGCTACATTTCGGTGTGGTAGTAGCTGAATGTTTATGAATTATTCAGCTACATTTCAGCGTGGTAGTAGCTGTAGTGGTAGTAGTCCTCTCCAACACATTCTCCCTGAGATCTTTGTTTAAACTTAGGTGTTAGCTGCTGGACTCTGTTAGTAAAATATCTCTTGGACAGTACAACCCTCGTCTCTAACTGTCTCATTTGAAATCCCCGCTGGCAGAAACCGTACGTTTGTAAAATCCCCGGCTGCACGAAGCGCTACACGGACCCGAGCTCCCTCAGGAAGCACGTGAAGACGGTCCACGGGCCCGAGGCCCACGTCACYAAGAAGCAGCGAGGCGACGCCCCGCCCAGGCTGCAGCCACCCAAAGGGAACGGGGAGAACGAGGCCGGCTTCAGGCACGCAGCGAGAGGCGCAGATGGAAGGATGGAGGCCAACGGCACCTCCAGAGAGACGGAGGACTGTTTCCAGGTCAAATCTATCAAGACTGAAAACTCTGTGGTGAGTTCTCATGTTTCTGTCACGTCTTTCACATATTTTCTCTGTCGTCTCCCAAACTAACATTTCTAACACTGAATTCATTTTGTCCCTTTGGCATCTTTCTGATTTTTATGGCTTCTAAATTGAAATAGTTTTCCTGAATGTTCGCTGCATCCTTTGGATTTAACTTGAGCTTCTGTTTCTTCTTTAACACCCCTCTAACGGACAGACGTCTCTGAGGTGAGGACACTGACCGCCCACTGTTGTTGGTTTCTGCATGATGATGCTTCTAATGAGTTATTAGCACGTAGTGAAGACATGCACCAGGAGAAGCAGGCGATGGTGTAACTGCCTGTGCCTGTGCAGTCTTTGTTTGTGGAACCTCTCATCTCAACTCCACAGTTTAATGAAACTGACAGGAGTTAATCAGCAAAACAAAACAATGTGATTCAGTTCATTTTACAGATGTTGAGCTGAAATTTGATGGGGACGTATCTGAGTCCTCTCCAACATACACAATACATGTACCCGTATCGAACCATTCAATACACACTGTGAATGGAAAAATACAGATTTTTTTTATTTATTTTCTCAGCTTGTCTCCTGAAGATGCTCTGTGTTGAAGGATCAGTGGATCTGTGTTCRACTACTCCACCTAGGCTGTATTTTTGAGCACAGATYCACTGAGAAACTTGCTGTTTCAGCAACATTTAATTTAAAAACTGTACTTTTGAGGTTAACCAAATGTTCATAATTAATATAATTAAATTAAAAGTTAAAAGGGGCATGGACATTTCTCTTTTTTGTATCGAAAAAATATCGAATCGTGAGACTAAARTATGGAACCGAACTGAACTGTGAATTTTCTGTATGGTTGCAGCTCTAACTCTAAGCTTTAAGAGTTTGGACAGTTTGATGTTCAGATAGGGCGTGTACAACAGGAACATCCTCAGATCCTAAGGTGGACTGAAGAACAGAGAGGTTTCAGACAAAGGGGTCAACAGACAGAGACTCTGTGAGACCAGCAGACAGAACTGGACCTGTCAGAGCTGAAGATGTCCAGGTTCTCCTGGAGACAGACGAGATCTGAGATCATCAGAGGGACAGACCAGGCTGAAGGACTGATGAAGATGAGCTGATGAAGATGGGCTGATGAAGATGAGCTGATGAAGATGACTGAAGATGAGCTGATGAAGATGGGCTGATGAAGATGAGCTGATGAAGATGACTGAAGATGAGCTGATGAAGATGAGCTGATGAAGATGAGCTGATGAAGATGAGCTGATGAAGATGAGCTGACGAAGATGACTGATGAAGATGAGCTGACGAAGATGACTGATGAAGATGAGCTGATGAAGATGAGCTGATGATGAACTTGACTGATGAAGATGAGCTGACGAAGATGACTGATGAAGATGAGCTGATGAAGATGAGCTGATGATGAACTTGACTGATGAAGATGAGCTGACGAAGATGACTGATGAAGATGAGTTGATGAAGATGAGCTGATGATGAACTGATGAAGATGAACTGATGAAGATGAGCTGATGAAGATGAGCTGATGAAGATGAGCTGATGAAGATGAACTGATGAAGATGAGCTGATGAAGATGAGCTGACGAAGATGAGCTGATGAAGATGAGCTGATGAAGATGACTGATGAAGATGAGCTGATGAAGATGACTGATGAAGATGAGCTGACGAAGATGAGCTGACGAAGATGAGCTGACGAAGATGAGCTGACGAAGATGAGCTGACGAAGATGAGCTGATGAAGATGAACTGATGAAGATGAGCTGACGAAGATGAACTGATGAAGATGAGCTGATGAAGATGAGGCAGTATTAATAATATTAATATTGATCAGGTGGAGCAGTTTTCTTCAGAAAGCGTTCTGCTGTGATCAGACGTGGAGTTGCTGTGTGTGTGTGTGTGTGTGTGTGTGTGTGTGTGTGTGTGTGTGTGTGTGTGTGTG